GTCAAACCTTCACTTTTTGCAGATGACACAATACTGTATATGGAAAACCTAAAAGATTCCACCAAAAAACTGCTAGAACTGATCCATGAATTCAGCAAAGTCACAGGATATAAAATTAATGCACAGAAATCAGTTGCATTTCTATACACCAATAATGAAGCAGAAGAAAGAGAAATTAAGGAATTGATCCCATTTACAACTGTACCAAAACCCATAAAATACCTAGGAATAAACCTAAACAAAGAGGTAAAAAATCTATACACTGAAAACTACAGAAAACTTATGAAAGAAATTGAAGAAGACACACAAAAAATGGAAAAATATTCCATGTTCATGGGTTGGAAGAACAAATATTGTTAAAATGTCGATACTACCCAAACCAATCAACACATTCGGTGCAATCCCTATCAGAACAACACCAGCATTCTTCACAGAGCTGGAACAAACAATCCTAAAATTTGTATGGAACCAGAAAAGACCCTGAATAGTCAGAGCAATCCTGAAAAAGAAAAACAAAGCTGGAGGCATCAGAATTCTGGACTTTGAGATGTATTACAAAATTGTAATCATCCAGACAGTGTGGTACTGCCACACAAACAGACACACATAGATCAATGGAACAGAATAGAGAACCCAGAAATGGGCCCACAAACGTATGACCAACTAATATTTGACAAAGTAGGAAAGAATATACAATGGAAAAAAGACAATCTCTTCAGCAAATGGTGTTGGGAAAAATGGACAGCGACATGCAGAAGAATGAACCTGGACCACTTTCTTACACCATAGTCAAAAATAAACTCAAAATGGATGAAAGATCTAAACATAAGACAAGAAGCCATCAAAATTCTAGAGGAGAAAGCAGGCAAAAACTTCTTTGACCTTGGCTGCAGCAACTTCTTACTCAACACGTCTCTGGAGGCAAGGGAAACAAAAGCAAATGTGAACTATTGGGATCTCATCAAAATAAAAAGTTTCTGCACAGCGAAGGAAACAATCAGCAAAACTAAAAGGCAACTGACAGAATGGGAGAAGATATTTGCAAATGACATATTAGGTAAAGGGTTAGGGTTCAAAAATCTATAAAGAACTTATCAAACTCCACACCCAAAACACAAATAATCCAGTGAAGAAATGGGCAAAAGACATGAATAGACACTTTTCCAAAGAAGACATCCAGATGGCTAACAGACACATGAAAAAATGCTCAACGTCACTCATCATCAGGGAAATACAAATCAAAACCACAATGAGATACCACCTCACACCTGTCAGAATGGCTAACATTAACAACTCAGGCAACAACAGACGTTGGCAAGGGTGCGGAGAAAGAGGAACACTTTTGCACTGCTGGTGGGAATGCAAACAGGTGCAGCCACTCTGGAAAACAGTATGGAGGTTCCTCAAAAAATGAAAAATAGAACTACCATATGCCCCAGCAATTGCACTACTAGGTATTTATCCAAGGGATGCAGTATGCTGTTTAGAAGGGGCACATGCACCCCAATGTTTACAGCAGCACTATTGACAATAGCCAAAGTATGGAAAGAGCCCAAATGTCCATTGACTGATGAATGGATAAAGAAGAGATGGTATATATATATGTATATATATACACAATGAAATAATACTTGGCAATCAAAAAGAATGAAATCTTGCCATTGGCAACAGCGTAGATGGAACTAGAGTGTATTATGCTAAGCAAAATTAGAGAAAGACAAATATCATATGACTTCACTCATATATGGAATTTAAGATACAAAACAGATGAACATAAGGGAAGGGAAGCAAAAATAATATAAAAACAGAGAGGGGACAAAACATAAAAGACTCTTAAATACAGAGAACAAACCAAGCATTGCTGGAGGGGAGGGTGGGGGATGGGCTAAATGGATGATGGGCATTAAGAAGGACACTTGTTGGGATGAGCACTGGCTGTTCTATATAAGGGATGAATCACTGGATTCTACTCCTGAAACCGTTATTGCACTATATGCTAACTACCTTGGATGTAAATTTAAATAAATAAATAAATAAATAAATAAATAAATAAAATATTTTTTGAATAAACATTCAAAACCCCTCCCCCCAAATAAATAAACAAATTATGCATGACTCATTAAAAAAGAAAGAAAGCTCCACAAGAATAGGTATCTTGCCCATCTTGTTCATCTTTGTCTCTGTGGGTCATATTAGTTCGTTTTACAGTGTTAGAATCTTAATAAATATTTGCCAATTGACTAGAAAAAAAATTACTCTCTCAAGCTGTGTCATTGAAGTAGCTCCTAGTGTGGAGCTAAGAGTGGGGCAGAATGTACATTCTAGTGGGCAGAGGAGGGGAAGGGGCCTCTGATTGCCTGGGTCCAGTCCATGAGTCAACCAGCAGTCATATGCTCTTGATGACCTCCTCTAACAAACTGTTCATAGTACTCTCTTATAACCCTTTTTATTTCTGTACAATCAGTAGTAATGTCCCCACTTTCATTTCTGATTTTAGTAATTTGAGTCTTCTCTTTTTTTCTTAGTCAATCAAGCTAAGGCTTTGTCAGTTTTGTTGATTCTTTTCAAGAATCAACTTTTGGCTTCATTGGTAGTCTCTATTGTTTTTTCTATTCTCTATTTTATTTCTCTCTGCTCTAATCTTAAATATTCCTTCTCTATGGTTATCTTGGGTTTAATTTGCTCTTCTTTTTCTAGTTCCTTAAGGTATAAAATTCGGTTGTTGATTTGAAATCCTCTTCTTAATTTTTATTTTATTTATTTATTTTAAAAAATTTTTAAGTTTATTTATTTTGAGAGAGAGAGAGAGAGAGAGCAGAGAGAGGGACAGACAGAGGGAGAGAAAGAGAATCCCAAACAGGCTCCACACCATCAGCACAGAGCTCAATGCGGGCTCAAACTCACAAACTGTGAGATCATGACGTGAGCTGTAATCAAGAGTCAGACACTTAACCAACTGAACCCCCCAGGTGCCCCTATTTTATTTTTTTTAAAGTAAACTCTATGCCCAATGTGGTGCTTGAACTCACAACCCTGAGATCAAGAGTCACATGCTCTACGGACTGAGCCAGACAGGCACCCCCCTTCTCTTTTAATGTAAGTGTTTACAGCTATAAATTTCCCTGTCGCCCTGCTTTCATTGCATACTATAAGTTTTGGTGTTTTGGTTTTGTTTTCATTTGTTTCAAAACATTTCCTAATTTCCTTTGTGATTTTTTTTGATCCATTGGGTATTCAAGAACATGTGGTTTAATTTTCACATATTTCTGAATTTTCCTTTTGCTACTTATTTCTAGTTTAATTCCATTGTGATTGAAAAAGATGCTTCATATGATTTCAATCTTTTAAAATTTATTATGACTTGTTTTGTGGCCTAAAATGTGGTCTATCCTGGAGAATGTCTTTGCCTTTTTTCCTGTTGGACACACTGTGGCTTGGCACCACTCTTCCCTGATACTCCAGATTCTAGCAATAAAGCCATGGACTATCAGGAATGTTGTCTGAAGAGCTAGGGAGACCCCAGAAAGCCTTAAGCCCAGTCACCTCTCATCTTAGAGGTGAGAAAACCAAGGCTCAGAGTGTCAGAAGCCTTCACCCATCCACCACAGGCCCTGTACACAGAACCACTGCAACTTCTCTCCCGTGGTATCAGCAATGATCACATAGAAACAAAAACTTCTACCCTAGGTTTCAGCCAACAAATGTTTGCTGAGTATCTAAATGTTCCAGGCATGAGTTAAACCCTTAAATGACTCCATGTGTGCAGGACCCATCTACCCTAAGGCAGGCTTGAACATTTTGATTCTAGGCAGTGAGAGGTGTGGATAATCAAATCCTTTCTGGTGTATTAGAGCCAATTTCATAAATACACCAACTTGTCATCTCAGCTGGCTTCTGTATTTGGTTGACTACACGCTCCTTTTAGAAATCACAGGCACAGCGTTTCTGGACACTGAAGGCCAGACAGAAAAGCTCACTGCATCTGCAGGGCTGGATTCTATGGAAAAGTAAGTACAAAGGGGGCTTTTAGGTGAAGGGAAAAGCCTGCAGCTCAGAGAGGTTAAGGGGGTTAACACAGAGGTATGGCTGGATGGTTGCAACTGGTTTTCTCACCCCATGTGGCTGTCGAGGAGCACTCCAGCCCTGACATAGGTTGATTCATACAATTCAGCTGCTGGGCCAGGGAAGGAATGAGGCTACCTTCTCTGACTGGGCACAGTAAGGGTAGAACCAGAGGACCCCACTCCCACTTTCAACACTGTGGCTGGCTATGGAGGTTTGAGACTTCACAGGTGGGATTCTTGCTGTGTGGTGCAACAAGGTCACATAGGCTCCCTGACCCATCTAGTCTTTCTCTTACCACTGTCCTGTCGCATAAAGCAGGAGAGGGGATATGGTCCTACTTTACAGATGTGGAAACCAAGGTGCAGAGAAGTGGAAATCTGCTACGTAAGTCAGGCAGTCAGTGCTCAATCAGAGAAGCAGAATCAGCAGGGGATACAGATATATTTATATATATAGGAGATACAAATGTACATATGTATGTGTGTACATATATATGTATAAGCATGTGTGTGTATATATATATATATATATATATATATATATATATATATATATAAAGATATAGAGATTTAGAGATTTAGTGCAAGGAATTGCCTTATACTTGCAATTGATGGGGGCTGGTCAGCCAAGCCTAAAATCCACAGATGGGACAGGCCACCAGGAACGGCAGACTGGGACTCTTGCGTGCAGGCTGATGTCCTGTTCTTTCTATACATCTCTATTGCTACATCATACCATGGACTAACCATTGCCCTCTTTACTACTGGAAATAGAGTCATTAGTGTCTTTAAATCAACCAAATTAGAGAAGAATTCCAGGAAACCTAGCACCAATGCAGAAAACTCGTCCTGAAGATTCTGTTCCTCTAGAACCACTTCTAGTACCAGAATCTATATCAGTAAGGGTCCAACCAAAGAAGCAGAAACAGTCGCATATATATTGAAAGAGATTTATTGCAAGGCATTGACTTAAGTGATTGTGGGGGCTGGACAGACAAGTCTGAAATCTGTAGGGCAGGCCACCAGGAAGGACAAACTGGAACTCAAACAGGCCTGGGAAGGAAGCTGCTGTCCACAGGCAGAATTTCTTTTTCACTGGGGAAGCCTCAGCTCTCCTCTGAAGGCCTTTTGACTGACTGAATCAGGCCTATCAGGATTATCTAGGATAATCTCACTTGCTTAGTTAACTGGTCACAGACTTTAATGACGTCGACAAAACACCTTCACAGCAACACCCAGATTAGCGTCTGATTGAATATCTGGAGACTGCAGCCTGGCCAAGTGGACACATCTAATGACCGTCTCCCCTGCCCACAACCACCCAGTAATTCAAGGACTCTGGATCAGCCTCGGCTTTTCCCTTGGACATACACTCCCACCCTTACCCTCAGGTTGCTGACAGTCTAAACAGAGGAGGTGAGGAACCTCAGGACTGGGGCATCCCATGTGTTTAAATGCAAGTCAACCTGCACAAGCAGTGCCTGGGATTTTTAAAAATTAGGTAAAATTCATATAACACAGAATTAGCCATTTTAAAGTATACAATTCAATGGCATTTAGTACATTCATGTACATTTAGTACATTTAGTACATTAGAGGTGTAACCATCACCTCTGTGTAGCCCCAAAACATTTCATCACCCAGGAAGGAAACCTCATATTCATTAAGCAGTCACTCTTCAATCTACCCTCCCTGCCTGGGCATTTTAAAACCAATCTGTACAGCAATGTTATCAGGGCATCATGAGGGAGAACTTGAAGGTGTAAAAGCCTGCTGTACTTGATGAGCTGCTAGGGGCAGAGGTCCCCTCCTTGGTAGGCAGGGACTGACATCCAGCTACTCTTTCACAATATTGGGGCTGTAGTTGGGTTTGATGGCTTCGGCAAGTTCCCGAGCGTACATCTCATATCTGCCCGTCATCTGAAAGCAAAACACAGGCAGAAATTCTTGTTTCATAAACGTCCCTCATTTACTCACCACCACCTCTAGCCACTAGAGGGCAGCCACGGGACAGAAATTTGTCTGGAAGGCCAGTTGAGGGGATAGTTTCAGACTATGTAACAGAGAAACAACCCCTGTGTGACCTCTCGGCACTGATTCCGGTGCTATAGCTAAGATGACAGATGACAGAGGACTCACACGCTCCAGCCCCTCCTGCTGGAAGACCTCTGTGATCTGTCATCCGGAAGGTGTGGCCTGCCCCAAGGCAGAAGGGAAGAGGGCTGTCCTTCCGTCTTACAGAACCCCAGAACAGCCCACAGCCCAGAGAGGGGAGTGACACTGCTGTCCCCAGACAGCAGTGAAGTTTGCAGGTATTTGCACCCTGGTGCACCCTCCCGGCTCTGGTCTGGGAGAGAGTGGGGGCAGGGCTAGAGAATCTACCCAGCATCTCCTCCCTCTCTCCTCCCCAAAGTCCCAGTAGGAGCTCAAGCCCATTACCATAGTTTGGGAGGGCTTTTGCGTTCAAAAAGTTACTAATGAGAAAACATTCTGTTTATTGTGTGGAATACAGCATTAATCTGAGCTTCCCAGGAAGAGGAGAGACCTTCCCAGGAAAGAGGAGATGTTCATATGGGCCTTGTTTGTCTTGTTTGTCTGATGGGGATCTGAGACTCAGGGAACACGCCCAAGGACCCATGCTCAGGTAAATGGAGGGGAGCTGGTTCTTCCCACAGAAGCTGGGCAAAGTCATTCAGCTGTGAGGACATTCATTTGTATGTATTCATTGGCGTGGGTTCTGAGTTGATAGAATACTGTTGGACACTAATGCAGCAAACTCCATCTGCATCCAGGATGAGACAGTGTATTCCAGGGGGGTCCGGGTCCTGGGCCATGGCTGCCATGGAATGGCTCCCCATTCCAGGAAGGCGGGCACTTATGCTCCTCCCATAACCCCTGGCGTCACGCAAGTTAGGTCTCAAAGGCCACTTGAGACCTTGCAGTAAAGCCTTCTGTTTTACAAATGGGCATACTAAGGCCCAGGAACAGAAAGGGCTTGCTTAACGTGACTGGGAAAGGTGGGGAGGAGGGGGCACACAGCTGTGATAAGATGCCATTTCTTTGCATGACCCATTTCCCTCTACCATCAAGGCCTAGACCATGGGGCCGGGCCACAGGCAGAGCCAGACACCCACATTTATCTTGTGATAAGTACAAATGCCTGGAAAGGAAAAAAAGGATTAGAGAAGCCAATCCACTCTATTCTCCGGACAAATGAAATTGAGATTAATTTGTTTGAAGGCACCCAGATTCTAAATCAGACAAGAGGAGAATTTATTAGGGTCTGCTGCCTGAGCCTTACTTGATGCAGTGGTTCCTCCCTCACACACCAGCTCTGGGAGGAAGAAACCTGCCCCTCCACTCAGCTTGGAGTCTCATCTGGCTGTTCTGGAGAGCAAACCCAGCGGCTGTGGTTTCTAGCCCTGAGAGCAGGATGGGGGCTCAAGAAGAGGAGCAGGGCAAGATCAGGGGACTCAGGGACCCACCTTGAAGTTCCAGATGTCATTCACCTGCCGGCAGAGGTTCAGGTCAAGCTCGGCAACCAGCAGCCCATCCCGATTGCGGGAGAGACCAGGGGTGCGGCTGCTGTCCGGGCCTGCCACGTAGCTCGAGCCATAAAAGTAGCCGAAGTCCTGGTGAGCTTTGAAGGAGCAAAAGAAAGAACCTGTGAGCTTGTGCAGGCACATGGTGGATTCTTCAGAGAGGGAGGCACATTGAGTGACACCCTAAACAAAGGGTCAGTGCCACCCTCCCCAGCATCTGCCAAATGCTGAGGCCCAAGTCCCTGAGTCCCTCCTCAGGCCTGAGGTCAAGGAAGTTTTTCCAAAAGTCACCTTCACAGCCCTCACCTCTGCCCCTGGGAACATTCTTAAAGGTCACCCTTGTAGAAGTATTAGCCCTTACTCCCAACATTAGCCACCCACAGCCCAAAGGAGTCACATGGCTCTGTAGGGCTTCCTGTGTGACCTGCTTCCTGTGGTGGCCCAACAACGTGAGCTGGAAGCTCTGCCCTCACTTGCCTTGCCAGCTCTGTCTACTGTACCCACCTCCTTCCGTACCTCGGTCCCCTCACAAGTGGGCTAATAGCCACCCCACAGGCATGTAAGGAGTAGGTGGGCACAGTGCAGGGCCCAGCAGGGGCTTGGACACAGTAGATTCCCAGCAGACTTCATTTCCCTGCCTCTTCTGTGACTCTGACTGCAGAGAGCTAACTGGGATTGGAGACTCTGGAAGTCTGGAGCCTCAAATGAGGGGATCTGGAACACTTTCAGGAAGTACTTTTCTGGGAAACAGACCTGCTCCATCCCCTCTGCCTTATCAGGGGATACCCTGAGGTAGTTCCTCCTTGGTGGGCCCTTCCCTCCCACATTTCCAGCCAGAGAGGTGGGACCAGGGGGTGGGGAATCCTAGTAGAGGTGAGGTGGTACCTGCCCTCAGATCAAAACAAGCTGTGGATTCTAGGAACCCAAGACAATCCATGCCAGTGTTCTGGGACAGCTGTGCAGCTTGGGGTGGGGGATGGTAGCAGATGAACAAGGACAAAGGAAGAGAGGGAAGGAGATGCGTAGGGTGGATAAAGCACCCTCTCTTTCAGGGAGCTCACAAAGGGCTCCCCCATATCTTTTAGGCCCATTTTATACCAATCCCGGGGGAGGGGTAGAGTCCAATCCAATGCCATTCAATTCCCATCTGGGGAATGATGTGGTCACAAGCCCAGGACTGCCTATCCAAACGTAGCCATGGTCAGGCTCCCCCCACACTGTGGGCCATAAAGATGAGAGCAGTGCACGCCTCCGACAACATGCCACATGTGCAGACAAGGCCTGTGGCACAGACCCTGTGGCAGACAGAGAATGGGACAGCGAGGCCCACCCCTCAATGGCAGCCACCATGGAAATTCACAGAACATACCTTTCTTTCCATCTCCAGAGGTAAACTCATTCGGGAAGTGCTCCTGTGAAATAAAACCAAGGTAAGGTAAACCTATAGGTGGCACTACCACCGCATCCACCACAAAGTCAGGCTGAGGAGGCGTTTGTGAAGAAACAGTTAAAGCCAGAAGGAATGGCCTGTAGTCACTGGGCAATCAACAAGTGCTTATTAAACGTCCCTGCTAAGTAGCCAGCATCGGGCCAACACAGGCGGCCAGCGGGGAATTTGACAGGCAAGGTAAAAACTCAGACTTCATCTCTGGGGAGTTTATAATCTCCTGGGAGGGGGAAAAAAAAAAAAGATGCTTTGCAGAGTGGTTCTCAGGACTGTGGAAGGCATCTGAGGTGTATCCGCCTGAGAAATAAGCCCCAGCTTGGGGTCTATGAAGGGAGTAAGGGGGTGCCCACACGTTGTTTTCAATATCTTCCCTAAAGCCTAATGGAAACTGCATATCAAGCTGTGATGGGGTTACACAGGCTAATTAAAACACTGAGTTTGTTTATGTTGCCAGAAACGTAGAAACCTCGGTTATCTCAGACTGAGCAGATGCTCTGATTAGATTTTGGCATCCGATTAATAAGAATAGGAAGAAGATTATTACGTAATAAACGCATTGTGTTTTTGTAGTCAGGGTCATTCAGTGCATGGGGTCAATGGGGAAAAACACGAAACTGGATACGTGGTGGGGACAGGGTGACAGCCATTCAAAACGGTTTCAGCTAAAAACCAAAACAGACAAAAACAGAAGAAGGACATAGGAATATCTTTAAAAGTAACAGACCAAGCCAGTCTACTGCCTTTCAGGACCCTAGGATTTATGGCCTTCACACAAAGGGAGCAGGGAGAAGAGGTGTGACATGTCCCCACCAGGGCCAGCAGACAGTTGCTTCCCCTTGTGGACTCTGCTGGCCGAAGAGGCTGGGTCCCCTCTCGGCAGGTAGCCTTCCTAGCGGCTTATCACTCTGTCCCCTCCCCAGCACACCTGGTTAACCAAACCTGGGAGACCAGCCAGACCTCCGGGACTTACCTGGCCCACGCGGTTGATAGCACAGGTGAAGCAGTGATTTGCAATGGCTGCGTTTCTGGCCTCAATTGGCCACAGGGACTCACTGTGAGAGAAACAAGAGGAACCATGTGGCTGACTTTCCAGCCAGACTGGGAGGGTGCTTGGTCCTGAGTGACAGCCAGGCTGTCGGCCTTCTCAGGTCCGCAGTGGGGATGGCCAGGGAGACTGTTTGTGGCTGTGGGTGACCCCAAACCCACAAGCAGGCCAGCTTGTCCCATGTTCAAGCCCAAGCAGCCTTTTGGGGAGGGGCTGCTGCAGGACAAAGTAGCCCTGAGCCTCAGTTTCCTTTTCTGAAACTTCCTTAAAGGAATATTGTAAAGACTGACCACACAGGCAAAGCTTCTAGAGGGGGCTGCGTGGCAGAAGCCCTGTGACTAGCTCTCTCTCCTTCCCTCCTCTTGGGTCGGGTGAGGAACTCACATTCTGTGCTGGGCAGAGCCTCACCTGGCAAATGTAAGAAGGGAGCTCAAGGCTCAGACTGCTGCACTAATCCCGACCCTGCTCTGTTGCCTTGCAAAGCAGTCTCTAGAGAGGGGGTACTTCAGGCCAAGCAAACAGAGTAAACCTGCAAGGAATTGGGGTAACTGGAAGGGGTAGATTCTGTAGCAGGTGCCACCTCCCCTGGGCCTGTCCACATTTCCCAGTGCCTTCCTATTTTCCTCTTCTGAACCCTGAGACTCTAAGAGGGGATCCCTGGTTCTCTTACTGGCCCAGGAAGGAGGCACCATACAGGGACAGCTGAGCTGTGGGCCTTCTTCAGTCCAGTATTCACAAAGGTAGGACATGGTGGAAAACCTTGTCCCAATTGAAGACCCTGTCCTTCTCCAGCCCACCAATGACAATGTGCCATGGAATCCAGTGGGCCTTCTTGTCACTCTGTTGTCTGAGGAACAACATCATTAAGATTCTGGATTGACAGGTGTAATGCCCACTTAGAAACACTGAGTGACTGAGAGCAAAATGCCCTGGAATCTTCCTTCCTGTCAGCATGCACCTGGTTTAAACCAGGAGTAGGTGGAGGGAGTGGGTGCTTGTCACAAGCCTAATTCTCGGGAGGTTTCACGAGTCTGTAAAAAAAAAAAAAAAAAAAAAAATCACAGGCTTGATTGAGAGGACTCATTTTGCTGCTTCCCTGCCCCCCCCAGGTGCTAAGCCAAGCTGACAAAACTTTTAAGAAAGGATTTTTATAGAAACACACCCGTAAATGACATTTTCAGGAATTAAATAGACAGTTGCAGGGTGAGTGCCAGAAAACATCTTTCTTGCAATTCTCCTGGGAGGGTGCACTGTGTAGGACTCAAACCCACAGCTGGCAATAAAACTGGCTCTCAAAGCAAGCAAGGGAAAGAAGATGGAGGCTCTTGAGAACCCAGGGTATGTGGGAATCATGGAGAGCCCGATGGGTGTATGGGGACATCTGCCTTGTTCCCAGTCACAGTGTGACAAAGACCTGCATTGAAGAGATGGAACAGCGACTCGCCTACTGACACACATACATGGCCACATGGGTCAGGATGACTCAGGTCATCAAAAAACACTTCAAGTCTACCGTGTGCTTATAACTGTGGGACCCTAAAATGAGTGAGGACACCCCACCAATCCACAGAGCATGTGTGTATGGGAGGGGGGACATGCCAGTGAAGGAATGGATGGTTCCAGAAGCCATTGCTTGCGTGCAGCTGGTGGGGATTTGCCCAGCCCGGTGCTGAAAAAACACTCACCATCAATTCCATAAATACTCATTTATCATTTTAAGAAAATCACCCAGAATCCCACCATCCTTATAAACCATCTGTTGTAATTTTTCCACACTCCATACCCATTCTTGGCAAAAGAGGTTTACAGAGTTCTGACCATAGCCTGAAAACATCTTTGCTCACAGGCTTTTGTCATGATGTTGCATTATCTTCATGATGACTTTTTAGTGACTGTGCAATAACAAGGAAGAGATGGGCCGAAATGTACTTAAGTCTGACATTTCTCTCACCTCTGGCTTCAGCCTTTTCCTCCTCCTTTAGATACTCTGTCAGGTAAAGTTCTAGGCGTATTATCTGGTCAAGGGTGTGAACATTTTAGGAGCTCATGAAACATACCGCTTTCCAAAGGACGTGTTACCGTTTTAACTGTCAGCCTCACCATACCCTTGAAAGGCATGAGTTGGATGACTGTTGGTTGAGGAAGGAAAATCAATAATTTTTAATAAGTCTAATAGACTGCTGGAGACATAAATAGTTATGTGCATATTACATTGGGGTGCTTCTGTTTGCTTAATTGGGGATAATAAAAGCTCAACAGAATAAGGTCAGGGAGCTGGCCATCCGAGTCTGAGGCCACAGCTTTGCCTGCCCTGGCCCAAGAGCCAGTATAGGCACTGATGCTCAGCGAATTGGCTTCAGGTTCCTCAAGGGACCCTTGCAGGTAGATGATGCTTGCTGAATGTCTTACACATGGCCAACAGGAGGGGGCTGCTCCAGGGGGGTGGCCCAGAGGTTCTGCCCAGGTCTGGATGCTGGATGACCAGTAGTTTACCCTATGTCACAACTGCCTTGGACTCTGTCATAGTAACTAAGCTGCCATGAGGCCCCAGGGAGATTCTTCAGGGGATGTCCAAAATTTTTCTCTTCTGACCAACAGCACCCCTCCTGGACACAGAGAGAAACTTCAGGTGCATGGATGGGGCAGTTGACTTGAGGGAGCCAGCTAGGTTTGTGCTCTGCCTCACTGAGGGGGCTGCTGTGGAAACTGGAATGCTATAAGGATGTCGCTCTTGAGAAGAGAGCACCATGCTCAAAAGAAAAGGTAAAGTAAATATCACATTCTGACCTTCAGAAGAAATTTGACTAAAATTTAGTCAAGAGAGAAGAGTGACAGGGATAGGCCATCAGGGAACTCAAAGCTGCCCACCAGAACTGCCCCAACCACTCCCCATGGGTCCCCCAGGGGCCCACTGCTAGGGCACTGGCAACCAGTACAACACAGAGTGAAGGCCAGCACCTCCTGCTCCAGGAATCCTGCTTTGGAGGAAGTGAGTTGGGGAGAAAGATAATTGCACATAAATTCCTAGAGTTCTGGTACTTGTTAATGATGCAAAACTAGAAACCACCCAAATACTCAGCCGTTGGGGAAGAGACAAGCAGAGGAAGTGCAGTCATGCCGGGTCATCTTAGCTTGCCTGCCATTATTAAGTGAGCCCCAGGGGTCTTGCACAGGAACCCAAGGGCTGCCGGGGCCCACCGCACAGCCTTGATCAGAATAGATTTATCTGTTTCAGGATTAGGCTGACACCTAAACACGTGTTAGGTGTTACAAGAAAAACCCTTTGCTGGTTAAAACCAAGTTTCAGAGTCACTTAACTGATCTCTTAAGGACCCTCACAGCTTTTAGTCTCTCATTTGCTCCTTCTCTCATCCAGATGTCTGACTTCCATGTGCTGGATGTTGCAGATAAGTCTCTTAGATATCCTCAGTCCCCCTAGCAGGGGCCATGACAGAGAAGGGAGCTTATGCTGGCCAGGCACCTACTATGCTCTGGGTACTTTAGAAGAGGAGCTTTTTGGAATCCTGACAATTATAGGATGGAGGGGAATTATTACCATCTCAGTGTTCAGAATAATAGCAGAGAATAGTATTTTACAGCAAAGCAGCTCTTTAGGGGGAATTTTAATTGACGTTGAGTAATTTTTTTCCCACAGGAAAGTTGGGTAAATACACAACACACAATCCCATACTCAGATTCGTAAGACAACCTGGTGGCCGCAGCTGCGCACGACAGTTTACTAAACCCATCTCGGAACCCTGCAGCCTGGCGGTGGGTCTAAGATCGCTAGGTCCCAAGAACCCTCCCAGATCCTGCAAGCTGAGAGACCTGAGTGCTCCGATGGTGGCTGAGGGGTTGAAGATGATCTCAGCCCCGTTGATGCTGTACATGAGCCAGTTGAGAGGGTGGTGCCGCCCATAGCAAATGTTCACCGCAATCCTCCCGAACTGAGTCTGGAACACGGGGTGTCCGAGGTTTCCCTCCATGTAGTAAGTTGACTGAAAAACAAGGGCCATATGTGAAAACCTCTGGGCTGTACGATTTCTCTTTCCTTAGACTTGACGGAAAAAATAAAATATTCCAGTTCTCTAAAAGTAACAGTCTTGGCTGTGACTCATGTCTGACTTTAGCTCAGGTCATGATTTCATGGTCCGTGGGTTTGAGCCCCGTGTCAGGTTCTGTGCTGATAGCTCAGAGCCTAGAGCCTGCTTCAGATTCTGTGTCTTCCTCTTTCTCTGCCCCTCCCCTGCTCACACACACACTCTCTCTCTCAAAAATTAATAAACATTAAAAAAATGTTTTTTAATCGAAGAGGGGCTCCTGGGTGGCTCAGTTGGTTAAGCAGCTGACTCTCTCTGCCCCTCTCTTGCTCATAATCTGTCTCTCTCTCTCTGTCTCTCAAAAAATGAATAAATGTTTAAAAAAAATTTTTTTTTTAATTGAAGAAACCAGACACAATAACTACAAGCCAACAACTGGGAAATCATCGTGGCTTAAGCATTTACCCACAATTTCTTTTGTGGCATGTCAGAAAAATCCCCAAAGCAACTTCCCACAGTATTTTAAGGATAAACTTTAGTTAGGTTTCAATCGTGGTACAACTAAAGGCTAAAGTTTGGTCGATGTTAACATGAGTTAGTCAATGTCTTCACCAACCACATGTTCCTATAAAGAATGTCAGAGCAGAAGGGACTGGAAGCTCATCCAGAGCAACCGTCACCTGCTAGGGGAAAACCACCATGGCCTCAGGGGGCATGTGACTTGCCCAGCTGGCCTCTCTGCCCCCTTGGGGTGCCAGCCCTGGGACATTTTCATGGATGGCACTGAGTGGGGGCTAGAGGACTAGTCAGGGTCCCAAACAGATATGATTCCAGAACATTTTGCCTCCTCCCATTAATCTCAAAATTTGTCAGGGTCAGGCAGCAACCAGGATGTGCACATGTGGTGGACACTGGAGTAGATCCTGGTGTGTTGAGACAAGCCCTTCACTATCTGCTGGGAGCTAAAGATTAATCCCAGGGTAAACAGGTGATGAGCACGTCTTCCCACCCGCACCTCCAGCTGTTACCGAGATACACTCGGTTTTTCTTTCCCCCTAGGAAATGTCATCTCCCTCTATAGATCCTTCTTTGTCCTCCTGACCAGTCTGAGTGTGGCTGGAACTCCCGCAATCAGGGAGGGCAGCAAAGGACTGGGGAGATTGCATTCTGAACAACTGTATTCATTGCAGATCAAGTTCAGGTTTCATATCTTAGGTATTAGCTGGAGTTTACTTCCCTCCTTCAAACGTCCACCCCTCTTCATCTAATCCACCCATGAATTGGCATTAACTCATCAAAATAGCTCCCCTGATTTATACCTTGATAAGGGCACAAAGCTCTACCTAATACCCCTGTGCACAGACACGCACGTTAACCTACTGCCATCCCACACATTGACATGGCTAATACCTCATGTGACTTACAGACAAGGACCCCCTACCTCCCAAGCAAGGGCTAGCCTATGATGGGTAAGGAGCTCAGAGCCTGAAAGGGGCTGAGGAATCATTTCACATTTGTGCATGACTTATTTTTGTTTTAATCAATATATTACTTACCTCAAAGACAAATTTCAGAAAGCCACATCAGGTTATATTAGAAAAAGAAATACCCCTCTGTGCTTGGTGTTTGGGACTCACCCAGGACTCCCACCAGAATCCTATCGTCCATGTGATGCAGGACAATGGCGGCACACCCTAGAGCACTGCAGCCACACAGTGTTCCAGCACTGTGTAACATGACATGATCCAACACAGAGTTTTGCTCACAGAAAGATCCACAAAGGCTGAGCTGGCTCACCTCATTGAAGTCACCCACTCTGGGGATGTGGTTTTTCCTGGTCTTTCCCAGGACAGCTCCAGAATTGGAGATCACCACAGCTGTGTTCCACAAAATGTCCCCATGCTCTCTGTCTCGTTCCAGGATGGGGGATACCACCACCATGTCATGCTTCTTTGCCAGCTGGAAGAATGATGAATATAGCAGAGTCCTACTTTTAAATCAACTGTCATAGTTGTTTTTATTGAAGAATTAAATGATCCTACTAAATAATTAGACTTGGTTCAGAGCTATCTATCATTTTTATTTGTTCTTTGGAAGAATGTCAGTGTTGTCCTGATGCCCAAGCTTATTAGCTAAATAAGAATAATCATCGTCCTTGTGCACTGTTGGTGGAAATGTAAAATGATGCAGCAGCTGTGGAAACTAGTATGGCAATTTCTCAAAAAATTAAAAATAGAACTACTATATGATCTAGAGGTCCCACTTCTGGTTACATATCGGAAAGAATGGAAAGTAGGGTCTTGAAGAGATATTTGCGCACCAATGGTTATAGCAGTACTATTCATAAGAGCCAAAAAGTGGAAGCAACCCAAGACTCTACTGATGGATCAGTGGATAAATAAAATGTGGTATATCTGGGGTGTCTGGCTGGCTCAGTAGAGCATGTGACTCTTGATCTCAGGGTTGTAAATTCAAGCCCCACGTTGGGTAGACATTACTCAAAAATAAAATCTTTCTAAAAATGTGCTATGTCCATAGGGTGGAATATTATTCAGCCTTCAAAAGGAAGGAAATCCTATCATCACATGAATGACATTGATGTCATCCTTGACACGGATGAGCCTTCAAGACATTATGCTACGTGAAATAAGCCAGTCACAAAAAGACAAATTCTGAACGAGTCCACTTCCGTGAGGTATCTAAAGTAGTCAAATTCATAGAAACGGCAAGTAGAATGTTGGTTTCCAGGAGCTGGGGGTGAGTGAAGAGTTGTTTGATGGGTACAGAGTTTCAGACTTACAAGATGAAAAAGTTCTGGAAATCTGTTTCACATTACATACAATGTGAATGTATTTACCACCACTGAACTATACTTAAAAATGGCTAAGATAGTATATTTTATGTGTTGTTTACCACAATAAAAAAAAAGAATATTCATCATACTTCTCATCTATAACCAACCAAGTCAAACCAAACCAAACTCTTTGATACTGAATTCCTTTTGTCTCAAGTAAGAACATCAGGACCTGGTGACAATTATGATGAGCAGCCCTAGACGGTCATTTATCCTCAACTCTAACCAGCCTATCACTATCTCTGGCTTTAATGACAGAGAGAGGAAAGGCACAGTGGGCAGAGGTGCTGCTCTGAGCTACGGAAGGGCGTCTGTGGGTCTTGGGCCCCTCTTGCAGACAGGTGTCCCTGGCACCAGCTCTCATCCCCACTCCCCCTTTCCTCTTCCTCTGGCCCTGGTTCAAGCGTGTCATCTACAGTCACCACTTAACCAGTCCCCTCCTCTTTCATCCATAGCACAGAATCAACGACCTGGTGGATGACAGATTTTTTCCAGTAGCGTGAAAATACTGATGTTTGGAATTGCAACCCAATTTTGATAGAATCACTTATGATTACAGTGCTGCTCAAAAAATCCCATATATATATATATATATATAAAATCTGAATGGGACATGGAGAAGTGAAAAAACTGCTTTGTTCAAGGTGAGAATAAGGATGCCATCATTCGTAACCTCTTTGGTGTTAGGGGTTGTGTGTGTGTGTGTGTGTGTGTGTGTGTGTGTGTGTGTGTGGTAACTGTTTTATTAGGATAGTATTCACATGGTATAAAATTAGTCCTTTTAAAGTATGCTGTTGGGTAGTTTTCGGTACATCCACGGAGTTGTGCAACCATCACCACAATCTAATTTTAGAACATTTTCATCACCCCCAAATGAAAACCCCATTAGTAGTCACTACCCATCCCCTCTCCCCGCCCAGCCCCTGGCAACCACTAATGTGCTTTCTGCCCCTATTCATTTGCCTATTCTGGACATTTCATATCACTGGGGTCATACAACATTATAAGGTTTTAATAAAGACAAATGAAGACCAATCTCTGTACTGATGAGACAGGCCATACAGAGAAGCTTCCATAATGCAGGCAAATAGCATGGTCAGTAGCAGAGATTGGGACAAGGACTTGACCTCATCTCTGGTCCCCGAGGGCCACCTCTGCCACTTGCTGCCTATAGAACCCATCATGAGAAGTCACCCCTCCCTGGGCTGTGGCTCCTTCACCTAAAAAAAGCCATTAAGGGCCCTTCTGGCTCTGAAATTCTATGATTTTAAGTGAAAGTATACTAACAAAAGGGCAGCAAATAGTCTTATCTAATCTTATCTGGCAAAACAAGCACCAAATGGTGTGTTTTCCATGGTAAAGGGCCACACCCAGCAGCTGTGGTTGTGCTCTGTGACCTGCACGTGTTTGGCAGCTGCTGTCAGAGGAGCAGTTAATGTCCTACCTTCTGACAGAATCTGGTGGTGGGTCCATCCTCTGCTGACTCAGCAAATTCCGTCCAAGGGAGCTTCTCTCTCGTACAGAAAGCAAAGGGCATAGCTGTGAAGAGGACAAAGTCAGAATCATATCCAAAGCTCATGGCCTTTGACGGGGAGCTCCTCGAGACCAGCAGCTGAGGCTCTCCACAAGATAACAAGGCTCCAGTTGTCTCAGCCTGGGTTCTGAATCCTGTCCCTGAATATGGGCTCCAGGCAGACCCTGACCCTTCTAGGTTTCATAACAACACAAGGGCTGGGCTATATTTTCTTTATGACAGTCTTAAAAACAATAGAATTTAGGGAAGAAAACAATTCAGGGACTTGAACAGATAGATATCTGCAGACCCATTTCATAGCAGCACTATTCACAACCACTGAAAGATGCAAGTAACCCAAGTATCCAGTGATGGATGAATGGATAAACCAAACTGGTGTATATCCATATAATGGAATGTTATTCCACCTGAAAAAAACAGGAAATTCTGACACATGCTATAATACAGGTGAGCCTTGAAGACATTATGCTAAGGGAAATCAGTCATAAAAGGTCAGAGGCTATATGATTCCACCTATATGGGGGGACTGGGACAGTTGGATTCATAGAGACAGAAATTAGAATGGGTGGTTGCCAGGGGCTGGGCAGGGAGGACCAACTTTCAGTTTGGGAAGATGACAAAGTTCTGGAGATGGATGGTGGGGATGGCTGTACAACAGTGTGAACGTGCTTAATGCCACTGGACTGTATAAAAATGGTTAAAGTGGTAAAGTTGATCTTGTGTATATTTTACTGAAGATTCTGAACTGCTGGCCAATCTCTGGGTCGGTAGAAGCACAGCCAAGACTCCCTGGGGAAACTATCAGAGGGCCACTGAGGATGGCACTGGGACCCTGGGCACGTTACAGAAACATTTCTCCTCATGGGGATAGAGACACTTCTTCAGGACCAAGAAAAGCCACTTGCTTAATGACCCTGTAAGAAGTCTGGGAACTGCTGGATGATAGGCTAAATGTTCCCCTAGGATAAATGCATTATTCCCATGTTCTCTGGCTAGATGCCACAAGGGGGTTAATTAAATAAGAAATTTCATTAAATTCATAAACTGATTTTTGTGTGCCTTTTATTTTTCGAACAGCAGGTACCTATATAGGTAATAACAATACACAGAACACTACACATACCATGTCCAAAATGATATTTGCCTTTGTGGGGGAGGGCAAGGGCTGCAGTGAGGACGGGCACAGGGATTTCAGGCTACGTGTGTTCCATTGCTCATAACCTCAGCCATACTCTTTAGTGTCCACCAGTCTGATGGTGTGAACTGGTATAGCACCATGATTAAAAATACGCATTTCTCTTATCACCAGCGAGGTGGAGCCCCTGGCCACATGGTCACTGGCCTTTCTGGGTTCATCCTTCAGGCAACCTTGTTCCTACCCTTTGCCCATTTCCTAGTGGGACGTTTTGTCTTTTTCTTCTTGTTTTAGAGTATTGAATTCTTTGTTTGAACCAATTCCATGTACTCTTTAGACCTTCCTTCTTCCAATAAGCCAGGTCCATTTCTTTCAGGGGGATTAGTCTAAAGGAAGTTTCCAGATGTTTGCTATTGTTCCCATTGCTCTGAACTGTGTGATGTGAATGGCCAGTGCCTTAAGTGGTCACGGCATGGGGCATGTGGTCTGTTTGGGGCTACTAATTGTAGCCAACCTTTCTTAAATGTGGACTATGAGCCCAGTAATAGGCAGCTGGTCCTCATATCCTTGCAAAGCAGGGGAGATCTCATTTCACAGAGAAGGAATAGAAAGAAGCATTAGCTTCCCAATTCCTTTAAGTCACAGGATGGCTGGTCCTAAAATGGTGCCAGTGTGAAGAGGCTACCAGTGGCATCACCACTGTCTCGGCCACCTGGGTTCTGCCAGCAACAGCCCCAGGGGCCTTGGCACCAGACTCAAGACACTCCAGGCTTGACTTCAGGAAAGAGGGAATAAACTATTTTAAGGAAGCCAACCAAAAAGCTGTTAATGACAAAAAAGGTCCTTAATGACCATTTATTCTCAGCTTTCAGCACATTAGGAGAGATTCAAATACCCCAAGAGAATAAAACCTCCCTTTCTGATTTCATTTCAGGTTGCTAAGCTCTCCAAATTTCCCCATTTCCATTTTAATGGCCCCTTTTCCTGTTTACACAACCACTGTAAACAAACTCTCAAAGAAGCATGTGGAATGGAGGTTGGGGGAGGCTGGCTGCAAAGTTCAACTGCAGCTTTCAAATCAGAGGGGAAGAGGGTTCCCCATTTATTGAACTAACACTCCAAATTTAGACCCGGCCTTGCCCTCAGGAGCTGCCAGCCCAGATGAGGGGACTGAATTATAACCTTGTGTGGCTGCACGATAACACAGAGTGCCCAGTTCTATGTAGGGGAGCTTCCAGGGTCCCCCAAA